ATTCTCTGCTCCAGTGCATGCTGCTGGCTCTGCTGGGGCTGCAGGACAAACCTGCCTGCTCCCCGCACCCAGCCCAGCTCTGAGCAGCACCTGCAGCTCCCCGCTCCACACCTGGCACTGTGCAAAGCCGAGGATGCTCCAGGATGTTCTGACCCACCAGGATGTTCTCCCTGCCCTTGCCCATCGCTGGGTTCTGTGTATCTCCAGCTCCTCCTCACACCAGAGCTGCTCCTTTTCCACATTCCTGCTTTTTCTCACATGGAAAACTCTCAGGTTTGGGCATCAAGGACAAGATTGGATCCTTGGCAGGAGATCCCAGCAATCAGGTGTTTGGTTTGGGGACAGCAGAGCTCCTCGGTGGATGTTTGAAGCATTCAGGGACTGCAGGACTTGGATAAAACCTTATCTGATTTCAGTCCTCATCTTATTTTTAGAGCTGGAATGATGGCTGTGAGGTTTCCCCTTGTTTAATGTATTTAACTGATCGAGTTCATGCTCCTGAGGGTGCCAGCAGCCTTTGCGAGGTGCTGGGAAGCCAACTTTGGTTATTTTTGGAAGAAACTCAATGAGGATGTAATTACATTACAATTACATTGCTGTAATTACAGCAACGTTTTTTAGGTAGGACTGACACCAAGGCTTTGCCCACTGAAAGTCATCTCAGCTGCAACACTTCCAGAACCTCAAGTATTGTGAAATTATCCCAGTGGAAAGGTGTTGCCAAGAAAATGTTGGGAATTTCCATTGGGTTGTGCACATAGACTCCTCTAAATGCTCAGTGACACCACTCAGCCTCTCCCTCAATACTTAATTCAACATTTAAGGCTGATTTTTATTTAAATATTTTGCCTCCCTCATCTGAAATACATTAAATTTTGGCCTTTGTCTTTAAGCAGCTGGATGCTCATTGGTCTGTTTTTTTTGTGCCACCATATCTGTGAAGCGCAGGGAAAATCTGAATTTGTGTTGAGGTAGGTTGAAAGATTTTCTTTCCAAAACAGCAGAACAAACAGAATTTCTAAATGGTTTGTGAGATGGCCATCATCAGTGTTTATATAAAAAAAGTTATCATTAAAATGATAATAACATATATAAAAAATGTGCTCCTCCAGATGCAGCATCGTATCGAAGTTTTGCACAGGTTTAATATTTTCATGTTTCCTAAATATTCATTATTTTATTAAGGAAAAAAACCTCAGATGAACAGATTTCTCCCCTAATTTCTGGGAGGAGGATGGCAGCTAGGGAGGAAGGCGATCAATTAAGACATTAAGCATTTTGCACCACATGGACACATCTGCATGGCAGCCAAATAATGCAGCCATCAGCTCATTTTCAGGGGGCTGTTGCCTACTTCAACTCGGCCCTCAGATCAAAGAGAAAATGTCTGCTTGCATTTTCTCATCAGAAAAGGGATGCTAATTTAGGTTCCTTAATGTGTGGTGATAAGAGACTTCTTCAATTAAATGAATTCTATAGGCCAGAAAAGCAAAAAAAAAAAAGGGATACAAAGGGAGTCAGGCTGGAAAGGCAGAAGTTCTCATTAAATCAAAGGTCCAATATTCATTACCTCCAGCATCTGGGGCTAAACACTGAACATGGAGCTCATCAAAGGGGGTTTAATGGGTTAAATTGAGAATATAATCTAATTAAAATATTAGATACGAGTAAATAGCTCTTTGATATTCATCTGAAGGTTTCATTAAAACAGGCACTTGAAGTTTGGATTAAGGGGGGATTATCACTTTTAAGCAGGAACAACAAGTTGAGGTGCCCTGAGCAAAAATGCTTCAAAGTGTTACAGTTTGGTTGAAAAATAAAAGTAGGAAAGCAGAGCATGGAACCATTTCCCAGCCTGGCAGTGCCCAAAGGAGAGGGGGAAGGAGGCTGAGGAAGAGGAAGGTTCTGTTCAGAAGCTGGAATTGGATGCTGCAAGTGACAAAAATGTCATGGAAAACATTTCCCCTGCAGCCTGACCCGTGCCCCCATGTTGGACAATGCTTCTTCCTCTAAGGCTTCCCAAAATATTCTTAATATTTCTCAATATTCCCCAAAATGTCCTGAACTTCCAGCTGTGAATCCAAGGGGCTGATTCAGCAGTGGAGGAAATGTTCCTGACCCTCAGGAGGGTTGGAAGCAAAGCCAGGTCCCTTCTCCACAAGGAAGGGCAGAATTGGGATTGCTTTGCCCCAAATTAAACTGGGAGTTCCCCATAAAAGAGACACCAAATAAATGGGATAAAGCAATGCCACATCATCACAAGGTAGTTGGGTTTGTCTCAATATTCCCAAAAATGTCCTGAATTTCCAGCTGTGAATCCAAGGGGCTGATTCAGCAGTGGAGGAAATGTTCCTGACCCTCAGGAGGGTTGGAAGCAAAGCCAGGTCCCTTCTCTATGAGGAAGGGTAGAATTTGGATTGCTTTTCCAAAATTAAACTGGGAGTTCCCCATAAAACAGACACCAAATAAATGGGATAAAGCAATGCCACATCATCACATGCTGGTTGGGTTTGTCCCAATATTCCTAAAAATGTCCTGAACTTCCAGCTGTGAATCCAAGGGCTGACTGAAGAAGTTCCTGCCCTTCAGAAGGGTTTTAAAGCAAGGCCAGGTCCCTTCTCCATCAGGAAGGGCAGAATCAGGACCACTTTTCCCCAAATTAAATTGGGAACCCCCCATAAAAAGAAACCAAATAAATGGGATAAAGCAATTCCACATCATCACAAGGTGGTTGGGTTTTTTTTCCTCCTTTATCCAGCCTGTTTTCCAGGAGGTTTTAGCCCAAATTCCCTCGCTGTGTGCTCTAATCACATTTCATATGGTGACTTAATTCATAATTTGCTAAGTTAAAGAAATGGAAGCGCCCTAAGAAACCCATCTGTTTGTTGTTATTTTTACAGCCTTAATCTGTTAAAAGCTGCTTCCTCTCAAACATGCAGCTCTCAATTATCCTCAGTTACCCAATATATTTTCCAACTGCTCCTGGCTAATCCCAGATTGTCTGCATGCTCAGTCAGGACTTGTTTGGAATTTTCTTGTCCCAAATGAAGCTTCAAAATTTTGATCTTTTTGTGGAAACTCTTCACTAAGAGATAACAGAGTAACAATTAAATAATTAGCATTGTGTCATTACCAACTGCCGTGTTTGGAGCATATTTTTGTTCTCTTTTTTAGTAGCAATGGGTTATTTTTGCTTTTATTTCTGACCAAAAGTTTCTTCTGCACTTCAGAAAGAGAAACGTTGCTGGTGGTAAGATCATCAGATGAAACAGAAGTTTATTTTTAATGTTTTGTAGATATGTCTGCCTGTTTGTGTTTAAAAATGATCCAGCTGTGATAAGCCAAGAGCTGATTGGTCTGGAAGATGCAACTGTCAGATCCTTTATTTCAAAGAAAAAGAACAGAGGATTATATTTACAACAATATAAGTGCAAATGGACTATTTATTAAACAAAATAGGTACAATCCTAATATTTAAAAATAATTAAACTTAAACCAGTTTAAATTTCAGCAGACTGGGAAATGAAAATACGATGGTCACAGCTGAAAATAAAACAATTGAGGCAATTTTGCCTTGATCCCTGAGATTTCCCAAAATACCTATAAAATGTGAAGGGCTTTGAAAGCAGCCACAACTTCCTTCTCCTTCTCGTGCCTGCTCCACAGAGATTCCAGGGATGGGATTTTGGGGAACCTGGTTCCAGCTGGAGCCTGGGGCACAGCCTCCTTCACCTCTTGCTCTGGCTGCCTCGCAATGAAGGTCTTTGGTCTTGGAATCTTCTTGGCATATTCCAGAGCCTAAAAGCAGGAAAACTGGGGGAACTGAGGAAGAGAAAAGCTGGCCAATATTTCCAAAACTAATTAGGTGGGTTAAGATATGTCTAAATTCCTGATCTTGTTTCTGACAGAATTCAATCCCAGATACTTCAGTGGTGACTGGAACATAACCCAGCCCAAGATTTGCTTCCTGACACCACTGGAAGCCACCTTAGACACTGAAGAAGCGTTTTTATTTGAAAAAAGAAAGAACAACACAAATCTATTAATTTATAAACATTTTTCCCCCAGCCTCATTAGGCTCTTGCCCTCAGGCAGGGAGTTTTGCAGGTTAACAGGACAAGCTCAGGTTCTCCTGCATAATGCACTTAACTATCAAAATTAAAAAGCAAAGTAATGCCTGGAACGTGGAATTGGAGAGGGAATGGAAAGAGTTGTACAGAAATGCTGGAGCTGGCAGAGCCCTGGTTTAACCTGGGGTGGGTTTTGGTGCCTGTTTGTTGCAGGGATTTGGGAACACCTCATGTCTCCAGTGGAAGTTGCATCATCTCATGTCGCCAGTGAAGTCTAAAAGAATCCAAACCTCTTTTTGCCACCCAAACAATCAAGTTTTGTCTCTTAGTGTCTTTTTTTGGGGAATAAATGCAAGGAACGGAGGAATTCTGATATTATTGAATTCAGAGCTCTGTCCTGGAGCCTGCAGTCCTCACTTGCCACCCCTCAGGAACAGCTGGGAAGGGACTCAGCTCTTACCTTGTGTCTGCACCCTGGAGACACCTGGGGTTTTACAGGCAAAAACCTCTGCAGCACAGTAATATTCTTCATGTTATATTCCTTAATTTGCCTGGAATATTCCTTCTGCAGCTTTAGCTTTTCTTTCTGAGAAAAGCAGAAAAAGGGGACTGGAATTCAATGGGGGATCCATCAATGAAAGCCTTTTCCCACCAATATTCCATTTCCACCTCTGCTGCTGTTCAACCTGGCTTTGCCATTGATCCCTCCTCAGCACACAACAGGCAGCCCTGATAAATGGCACAGCTTTTTTTAAGTTTTTTTTTTAGTTTTCCCTTTTAAGAGCTTTTCCCTGGACTGAATAGAGGATGGAGCTCAGCAGAAATGTGACAGGTCCATCTTTATTCTGTCCTGAACAATCTGTCTCCGTTTTACCAGAGTGCAGCCAAATATTTTCTTGTGTTTACACAACTTTTACTCCCACTTTGAACATTTGGTGGATCTTTACGCTGGGAATAACAACTCAGCCGCTCGAGTGTGTCATTTCCTGATGTGCAGTTAGCCCTTATTAATTCCTTTTTCTGGATTTTTAAAATTAGAGGGTTAAAATTATCCCCAGCACAGCTGTCTTTGCTTTTATTTGAATTTTCCTGTAGGATTTCCAGCTAGCCAAGGATATAAAGTCCCAGATAATCATAAATTATGATTTCTCTGCCACTCTCCCCTGTCTAAATTCACTTTTGGTTTACTCACTTTCTCTTTGATTGTTTCATAGTCAGGTCCAAGGCCTCCAAGCTTCATACTCAGATTGAAGTAGAATTTGGAGCTACCCAGCTGAAAACCAAAGAGCAAACAGATTTTCCTTGACATGATTTCACAGAGAGAATAATTCAAGGAAATCTTGTAGTGGAAACCTCAGAATTTTATTTGCAATCTCAGTCCCACCCTGGCAAGTCTCATTTTAAATAAGTGACCAGCAGGAATGAGTTAATGGCAAAAATCAAATGACACAGAATTTTCTTTGAATTTTCTTTGGATCCAGGTGGGAAATTGCCAATTATGCCAAGCACAAAGTGATATTTTCTCAGTCAAAAATGACCTTTTGTGAGCTTTATTTGGAAACAGCTTAAAGCCATTCATTTGACTGTGATTAGAATGAGACTCCAAAGAAATTTTTTGTAAGAGAAGCAGATAAAATTGCCTGATTTGGTGGCAAAAATCAGGCAATTGCTGTTAGTGAGAATAACCTTTCCTTGCTCTCAAATCTGCCCACAGACAGCTGAAAAATCCATGTTTTTCTGCACAGCAAAGGCTTTACAAGTGCACAGTGAATGAGGAGAGGTGCGTGATGCCATTCCAATATTTCAGGACATCACACAAAGACTCCAATGCCTCCGTAATATTTTTATTTTCTTTCAAGGCCACATTTTTAGAATGGAATTGTGTTTAAAAAACTTGTCAGTGAAGCTCATTGTGATCACCTCTGTGGTAATTTCAACCACAGAGTAATGCAGGAACACCTATTTCTATATGCAAATAAAAGAAAATAAAATGGGCATTTCTTTAAAACACAGGTTCAAGTTAAACTTAGCTGTGGATACATTAATTCTGTGCACTAAATTTCCTATTTGAGCTTCCTTTGTGTCAGCTATCCCTGTTCTTACTTGCTGTGACTCATTAATTTTTAATTTGAGGTACAGTGAGGAGTTAATTTTGCTGTGTCCCACAAAATCAGGGGTTTCTCACTTGCTGCAATGATCATGAGTGCATTTGTTTTTTAGGAAAAGCTGGATTTTACTGGCAGCAGAAGCAGTCTGATTCTCTGTGCATTCCTCACATGTGAAGCGTGAGAAAACTGCTGCAAGCACGGGACAAGAAACAATGGTTTGAACAGAAAGAGAAGGAGATCTGCCCTTCAGTTACCAAAATAATCCTAATTCTTCTTAGAGGCACTCAGGCAGCAATAGCCAAACTGCATGAAATCATTATTCCAGCTTTATTTGTCTGCCCTGAAACCTGGAGCAAACTTCTCAAACATTGAATTTGTCACGGGCAGCCTTCTGCTGTGCCCCTGCAGCTGGGCTGAGTGGTGGCACCAGGACAAGGGGCATGCAGAGGAGACAAAAATCCAAGTTTTAATAAGGACCATCAGGAGGTTTGGGATGATGTTTATGCTGTTAGCTTTACAAATCCTCCAGATTTGGGGTTGGAATCCCTTGGAAAGCAGGAGGTTTGAGCTGGACAATGAAGGAGCATGAGGGGGATAATGGATGGCTCAGATCTGAGGCTGCCTGCTGCTCCACACTAACAGCCTGACCCGAAATAATTTTATTTATCCTGGATAAATGACAGGACAAACACTGCTCTGTGTGTCCCTGGAGCTAAACCAGACTGATCCGAGTGGATCCCTTTGCTCTAAAATTATTTCAGTGTCTATTTCTACCTTTGTTCCATGATTTTTAATGCTCTGCTACGTGTCCATGTGATTCAAACCATTTCTCAGTCCCTATTTATAGGGTTTTAAAAAAAAAAACCTTTGGTTTATTAAAAAGAAATATTAGAGAGAGAATAGAAATGTTAAACCACCCAATCCACATTTATTTTCTCACCTTTTTGATGGCTTTGGGCTGGTTTTGCTTTTCCCTTTGCAGGAGAGATCCTTCTGAGCTGCTTCGTCTCATTTTCCTTGGGTTTCCTTCAGCTTTTCCTGAATCTCCCTGGGATCCCCTCTGTACCTGGGGCTGGGCAGGTGGGAACAAACCCCAGAGCCACGTGCCAGCAAAATCATCAAAATCAGAAATTCTTGGCCGATGCTGCTCCTTCTTTTCTCTAAAATGGGAGATTCTGCAAGCAGCTGTTGGTGAACTGTGAACAAAACATGGAAAAGGCCTTCAAAATTGAGGGGGAAAGAGAAAAAAATCTGAATTTACACCCAGCAGTCAGCTCAGCAAATAACCTGAACATGGAATATAGGAGCAGGGAGATGGGATGATGAGGATTTCACAATAAATTACTTTGCTTGCACCCAAGTGCATGGAAAATAAATGGAAAAAAAAACACAAATGGGGAAATTTCAGCCTCAAGCAAAGGGAGCTGAAGCCAATGAAAGGTTTTGGATCAGGCCTGCTGATTACTGGTAGAATTATTTGTTTATGTGAAATAAAACCTTCATTTTTTAAAATCAAGACAGGTGAAATTCTACATAATTGAGGATTTTCCTGCTCTCCCCTTTAGGGACAGAACTGACCCTGGATATCCACCCTGCAAATTTTGCTACAAACTCTTAATTTATGCACAATGCCCTTTCCTATCTATATTTTAAACTTTCCCCCCCAGCCTCCTAAAAGAAAACTTTAAATTGTGGAAATCTCCATACCTGGAGGACAGAACTGTCCTTTTCCAATGCCATATTTAAAAATCAATAGCTATAATGAATCTAATGAAGTAAATTATCAATAGCTATAATGAATTTAATGAAGTAAATTATAATGGCAGGTTTGTACCAAAATAACTTCATACTTTGGACTTTAAAGCATTTTCTTGTCCATTTGTTCCCTTTCTGAGCATCACAGGGTTATGATATTATTATTTTATCACTTAAATCCTTAGTACAAACTATTCCAATACCTGTTATCCTCATGAATATGATTTTTGAAATCTGGAAGCGGTGCTTGATCCTTCACCTTTTCTTGAAAAATTGCATTAAAATCAGATGAAATATTCCCCAATTCTGGATGTGCCTGGTCACTCTTATTCCTGGAAAAACCCTGCCCAGGGATGGCACTGGCTGGGAATTGATGTGGAATTCCAGCTGGAGAGTCCTGCTGGTGTTTCTTGTCCTCCTTACTGCCATACTCAGGATTTAAAACCTCTGCTGGGTAAAAATTCTGGAATATTGGGAGAAAATGAGAGGCAGGTGTGGTAAGGATTGAATTTGGGAAATTATTTAAGCCACTTTGGGATTTTTCTGCTGGGCCAGGAGAAGAATTTGGATTCGTTGCGGGGGGAGCAGCCTGAAATTCTGGGGTTTGCTGGACCCGAGGCTTTGCTTCTGCTGCTCCTCCTGGGGGTTCCTGGCCATCACTCCTTGGGAAAGCTTTTCCTCTTCCACTGAGAGGCTGCTGGGATTCTGTTTTATTCCTCTGCAGGGAAATAAAACAGAAATAAAACTCGTGCTGCTGTTCCTGAAACGAGTCGGGTGAATTTCATCGTGGATATTTTGAGATATTCATGCAGAATTTTCATCACTCACATCAAAACCCCTCTGAGCTGCTTGGGTCTAACCCTGCTCATGGCTGGATTTAACCCAAAATTCAAATTATGAAGGAACCCTCAGTCCAGGACAGGAGATGTAATTTAGGTGCTGCTCAATGGATAATTCTGCATCAAAACTTTGCTGGATGGCCTGAGACAAATTTTCAGCTTTGGGCTATAAATTCAGGCCCTTGCAGATGCAAATTGGGTGTGGGAAATGTTGGTTGAGGGAATTTTATCTGCATGAGGTGCAAAAATGGGGCCCTGAAGTGCACAGATCAAACCTGAGGATGAGCGATGCCTCCCCGTCAACCACCTGGAAAAAATGCTCCAGAAATCAAATCACTTCTTTCTTTTTATGTGCCAAAACTCAGGGGAAAATGGCTTTGCACGCACTGTGAGGCTGGCCCATGGTAGAACAGCCTGATATCAATGAATGGTATAAATAATCTTATATTCTATAAATTCTAAAAGAATTATAAATTATATAGAAAGATAATTATAAATTATAGAAACAACATTATATAAATTATAAAATAACCATAAATTATATTATATTATATTATATTATATTATATTATATTATATTATATTATATTATATTATATTATATTATATTATATTATATTATATTATATCATATCATATCATATCATATCATATCATATCATATCATATCAATCATATAATATCATATCATATCATATATTGTATTAAATTAATTATATTCTATTCTAAAATGATAAGCTAGAAATTATAAATATAACCTTATTCTAAACCAAGCACTCCTCCCTGCAAACCATAACGCAGAATTCAATAATTCAGGCACACCCGGACTGCTATTTAGAGCCAAACTGCCACACTGTAAATCTGAAATTCATTTAAATCCATCATTTTCCAATTACAGCATCAGGTGCTGCCCTCTTGGAGGAAAAACTCAGATTTCCTTTCATGGAATCCACAAATCCATTCCCAAGCCAGAAATCCCTGTCAGGCTGGAATCCCCCATCCCACCCTCCTGTCTGCGGGGTTCCTTCGGGAGCATCCCCTGCAGAGGATAAAATGTGTGGGACTCAGATTCAGTCAGAGAAACTGAGAGTTTCTAGCCAGGAAAAAGCCTGGAAAAGAATGTAAATAATTCTTTATCACTCTTGTTTTTCATATTGTTTATAGTTAAGTTCTATCATTGTGCATCAAGCACTGTACACCAATGCAATGACTTGTTTTCACTTCAGAACCAATGGATTTGATCCTTGCGGAGCTCTGTGTAAAAGAGCAGTGTATTTTGAATAAATTGGAGTTTTACTATTACAGCCTTCTGAGTCAGTCTCTTCATTCCCATTCCTCCTCGACAGCGACATAAAATGCACCCAAGAATCAGATTTTTGTGCAAATTTGGGTGAAACGCACCCAGCTGCGGGAGTTTGGGGAAGCTTCACCCCGGGCAGGCCTGGCTGCCGGAGGTCAGGAATTGTCTGGTTGGGAATGCTCCCAGTTCGGCTGCTGCCAGAATCAGGATCTGTCTGGGAGGTGATTTGGCTGATAATCTAAAATCATAAATTAGTGCAGGCTTTGATGGTTTGGGAGGATTGTGAGAATTTATTTAGGAGATGATTTGGTTGGCAATATAAAATTATAAATTAGTGCAGGGCTGTGTTTGATGGTTTGGGAGGATTGTGAGACAATTTATTTAGGAGATTATTTGGTTCATAATCTAAAATTATAAATTAGTACAGCGTTGTGTTCAATTGTTTCAGAGGATTCTGAGAATTGATTTAGGAGATGATTTGGTTGATAATTTAAAATCATAAATTAGTGCACGGCTGTGTTTGATGGTTTCGGAGGATTGTGAAAATTTATTCAGGAGATGATTTGGTCAATAATCTAAAATTATAAATTAGTACATGGTTGTGTTTTATAGTTTGGGTGGATTCTGAGAATTCATTTAGGAGGTGATTTGGTTGACAATCTAAATTCATAAATTAGTACATGGCTGTGTTTGATGGTTTGGGAGGATTGTGAAAATTTATTTAGGAAGTGATTTGGTTGACAATCTAAAATCATAAATTACTACAGGGCTGTGTTTGGTGGTTTGGGAGGATTCTGAGAATTGATTTAGAAGATTATTTGGTTGACAATCTAAATTCATAAATTAGTACATGGCTGTGTTTGATGGTTTGGGAGGATTGTGAAAATTTATTTAGGAAGTGATTTGGTTGACAATCTAAAATCATAAATTACTACAGGGCTGTGTTTGGTGGTTTGGGAGGATTCTGAGAATTGATTTAGAAGATTATTTGGTTGACAATCTAAAATCATAAATTAGTACATGGTTGTTTGATGGTTCAGGAGGATTGTGAGACAGAATTTATTTAGGAGATGATTTGGTTGCATTTTCTGGTTTATGGCAATTCATTCACTCCTCTTCAATTTTAGGGGACAAATCAGGCAGAAATGGGGAAGTTCTGGCTCAGAATTCTGCCAAACCATCAAACACGAGCATGTACTAATTTGTAATTTTAGATTATAAACCAAATCATCCCCTAAATAGACAATAATGGATTCTGTCAGCTCATAATTCCTTGGCATTTTGCTTTAAATTTATTTAGTACATAAAGCACACATACACTAAATTACAGTGCTTTTCTATTGACAAATATTTAAGGATTTATTGTCAGTAATAATTACTTTAAAAGCCACAAGATGACAGCTTTAAACATCCAAATTCGGTGATTTTATAGATATATTTCAACTGAAAAATTCGAAATTTATAAAATTTTAAATTCTAAAATAATAAATTCTACTGAGTTTCCTTTATTCAATTCTCTCAAAAAGGAACCTTGAGCTGCTGTCCTTTTGGGTACCGTTTGTCTTCAGATTTCATTTTCCCAGTCTGGAATGCTGGGAAATTCTGGAGTGGTTCTTCAACAACTGGTGTAGGATCTGTGACCTAAAAACCAGGAATGTTCGTGGTCACAGCAATCAGGGGATGGGAAAAAAAAAAGAGAAATCATTTGTGGCCTATTAAAAAGCTGAATTTTGGCGTTATGGAATTATGACATTATGACAAGGAGAGAGATTATGGCATTATGACAAGGAGAGGAATGGTTAAAGGAGAAAAAGAAGCAAAACCCAATGAATGGGAGGGAGTATTCTTTCGACTTTTAAGAGGAATAAAAGAAAGGAAAATTGCGCAGCACAGAAACTCTCAAATGTCTGGGCTCCTCCATTTCCTCTGGATGCACCTAATAACAGAAAAGCAGGCAGAAACCATCCCTGGCCAGCAATCACACACCTCAGCAAGAGAGGCTCGCAGGGAAAACTGGCAAAACACAATAATGGGGGAGAAAAGCACAGGAGGAGCTGCAGAAATCAAGTCTGGAATAGACAGAGCCTGGCAAAACAAGCCCACAAACAAGGCCAGCTCCACATAACCACGGCTGGAAATTTATTTGGAGCAAGTTTTTTGAGTTTGTGCAATTAACACTGCACAAACCAAGTGAAATCCTTGTAAATATATCACATTTTTTTCCCTCGAAATAATTTTTTTTCTAATTTATAAAACCGCAGGAAATCCGATTTTTAACATTTTTTAGTTTCTATTTTTTGTCCCAAACTATCCTGCGGAGTATTTTAGTGGAAGTGTGTTGGGCAGTGTCACTGTGATAGGAATCTCTGCTCTGCCCCAGAGTGGTACCACAGCACAACTGGCAGTGGGGAGGTATTTATGATATTTATGATGATTTTCAATTATCAACTGAAAATCATCAGTGGGAAGAAAATGTGAGAAGCTGAGCCTCTCACTCTGGGGGTAAGAGATTAGGGCAGATAAGAAAAGGTGGCCAGGGTTTATTGCTGAATTTATGGGTGATCTCATGGTTCCAAATTCAATGTAAATCCCTGGGAAAATTCACAAGAAAATTAAAAAATACCACAGAGGTTGGTTTTCCTGAGCTGTGGACAGACACAGATTTGCAGTGAATAAGATGTTTTTGGTGGAACCAACTGACTCAGTGCATTGATGGAGTGCTGGGCAGGTAAAACATACTTCTACATTATCTCTTTGAAAGAGGAACAGGACACAACCTCTGCCAGCATTATTATTTTTTTTTTTTTTGTGAACCATTCTATTAATACCAATCAAATTGAGAAAATGATCAAATGAAATTGCATTTTGAGAATCATAAGCTGTGTAATGCCTATTCTGTTAAATTGAGGCCCATAATTGCTTCTCCACTGAAAAGATACAACAAAGGCAGCAATCATGGCATGTCATTATCCCAGACTGCCAAACCAGCTTTTGCAGGGAGGACTTCAAAGCCTTGTGGTTCTCGAATTGCATTTGGCTGCTATTGTTGAAGCACAGGCAATCTTGATTAGGTGTTTACACCGAGGGAAGGCTCAGTGCACAGAGAGTCTGAGTGCCTTGCTCTAGAGCCATTAAAAAATTGTACATTATGTTCCTGGCTTTGAAGTAAGGGGCTTGGAGGTAGGAAAGCAACTGGGATTGAGCACAGCTGAGCTAGATTGGGCCACTGCTTCTCCTTCTGCCTCGCTCTCTCTCAAAGAAACTCATCACGGGGTTCTTTAGGAATCAGGCAACGCTGCAAAGGACTTGGTGCTGTATAAAATGCTGTATGAATTAGTAAATATACAGATCAGCACGGGTTTATGGTGGGTTTTGGTACCTCCAGCACAGAGAAAATCTGTAATCTGTAAATCTAAATCTTGCAGAACGAGGCTGGAAGTATTTTAACTGAGTTGTGCACAAAGTCCTGCCCTCAAAGCAAACACTATTTCATTACCACAGCCCCTGGCAGCCAGCAGTGAGCAGATCAATAAATTCAGCTTCAACCCCCTGCAAAGCTCAGAAAAAAATCATTTTAGGGAAGCAGAGTTTGATTGGTGACATGTGGCTCATTTGTTTCTTCATGTACTCGGTGGTTTTGCACTTTTGGATAGAGTTGTCCAGGTGGGGTGACCAAGGTTGGCTCCTGGACCACCACGATCCTCCCCTCAGGACCTTTTTCATCCCTTCCAACACGACCAAGCCATGGATATCTTGGTTGGGTTCATTTACTGGTTGGTTAGGAATCAGTAAATGAACTGTCAATTAACAGTAAATTAATCAGTAACTCCTGCCTGTCCCACAGCAGATCGGGGGGCTGACAGCAGGTGGTGATGCCACTCGTGGAATCACAGAGCTGTGGAATGCTTGGGTGAGAAGGGACCTTAAAGCCCATCTTGTCCCACCCTCTGCCATGGCCAGGGACACCTTCCACCATCCCAGGCTGCTCCAAGCCCTGTTCTGGAACACTTCCAGGGAAGGGAAGCCCAAAACCTCGCTGTAACTTGTCTAAGTCAGGAACACACCCCCTACACCCCCTCTGCCTGCTGTGTCACCTCTCTGCTGTCCCCACGGCCACTTCAGCAAGATAATTTTAGCTCATAACCCTGACTTTAACTGATTCCTTTGCCTAATCCATATTTTTGTTCATTTGTCTGCACAATGAAGTCGTGATCCCTGGCTCCAACACTTAGACAGGAAAGATTTCCAGAATTCCCTGAATAGCAAACATAATCATATCAACATATCTCTAATTAGCATCCATCCACACTCATTATTTTTACCATCATCCAAATTAGAACTGAAAAAAACAAGTGCTCTTAATAGCTCTACTAGAAAAAAAAAAATCCTGTCCATCATTCCTGCCACTGGAACGAAGTCAGAAAATTCCCTCTAATGTTGTGTCAACTCTTCATTAGCCTTGGCAGAGGTGTCAATTGAAGCACAACGTCCCTGGAGGTTCCCAAGGTAAGAATTTTCTGTGTGGAGTGATTCAGTGACCCCCACCCCCCTTCCCATTATGCATAATAAGTAGCAAGGAAAAGCAATGAACTTGTTTCTAATGGTTCATTAGGAAGTGTAATTACATTTCCTCTCGAATCTTGCTACAAGTTGGCTGAGACTGTGCACAGTCAGAATTTCCAGACACGAGTGCTGATGTCCAGTGTCAAATTTGGTCTGGGATCCTGACAGCCTTGGGACATCAGCCCATGGAAACCTCACGGAGCTCCAGGCCAAGCACAGCCCAGAGGAAACCACGGAGCTGCTGCAGGGCTGGAGCCCCTTGGAGCCAGGCTGGGAGAGCTGGGAATGTTCCCATGGAGA